TTGTTTATTTATTTTTTAAAGACCAGCACAGTGTAAAACATTAGGACTGGAGCGAAATAATCAAATAAAAATACATTTAATTAATTGTTAACTGACTGAATGCAAAGGTTTGTGGGCATGTTCAAGAGTCAAATCATGGACAGGCTCAGCAATAGTGCTACTGTATGTGGGCCTGACATGGGACAATCCAACAGCAATCCATCAAAAAGATGAATCTATTTAGGTTTGCTTTTATCAATATCTGTGGTCTGAGGTTAGAGAAGAGCTACTGGATGAACACTTCTATGTGAGCCATAATGAGATATCATAATTGTTTGATTGGTTGTGTATATGTACACTTTAAAAAAAAAAGAAAACTTCCAAGTTGTATGGAGATTATCGTAGTGTGTTTTACAAGAAAATACTATAGGCTTTCTGCTTCAAAATGTCATGTTTAATTAAATATGTTATTTGCGATTATTTGTAAAATTTTCTAGCATTTTCTGAGTGAAAATTGTTTCACCACCAAATGTATTTCAGTAAACAAATCTTTTTTTTAGCTATTCCACCAAGAAACACAATAAATGAAGAAAAAGTATGATGCTAAAACTGTCTATATAATAACAGCAAGGGGAAATTAACCATGTGTTGAATGCAGCATGCAGATTTTTCTCTACCAGGAATAAAAAATAAATAATCAAACAAATAAAACCCAAACATTATTAGAGTTTGTTATTCAGAAATTGTATGAGGATGTGTGATTTTTGAAAAATGGACACAAAAAAGAATGTCCTTTTTTCCCCCCAGTACTCTAGTAAACACACAGAGTAGGTCATACAAACTGGGGGGCATTCGTGTTTCTTGAGGGGGCCTCGATAGAAATCGTAATCAGCAAGCTAAGGCAGCACAGGGAGCAAAGTGGCCGGGCGCTCATGGCGCAGACACTGCACACACACATATTTAGCTTATATTTTACTGTAAGCAGTCAGAGAGGGAATGAAGTGGAATAGTAAAATGATTACGATTATATCAACATCACTATAAAAAGTGCATCTTGTAGAATTATGGAAATACTAATTTAGCTGTTACATCTGACTGCTTGAGCTCCAATCCAGAAAATATATGCATTTTCCAGAACTCAACAGCTTCACAGATATGTTTAACGTACAATTTTAGTGTCTCGGTCATGTCATACCTGTAGTTTAATTGTAAATAGAAAAGAGAGTCTCATGGCAGCAGTCCAGAACGATCAGCTTTACACCCTCATAAATAAGAGTTTGATGGGCATTTAATTTAGTAAATTAATGGATCACAGTGTGAACATTTTAAGCTGATACATATGCATGCTTTAATAATGAACCTGAAAGGACCAGTAAGAGCAGATGGGCCTTATGATGAATGTGTGATTTGTGTGTGTGTGTGTGTGTGTGTGTGTGTGTGTGTGTGTGTGTGTGTTTGCGCGTACTTGAGTATGTTTAAGTATGTGTAACCTGCTATGCATGTTTATGAACATGCATAATGCAGACGATTCATGCATCTTATTGCAATTTTATGAAGACTTGATTTGCATTTTACTCCAAAAGACTTTATGGATAAACACACACATAAACAGACACACACACACATTCTCTCATCTTCCCACACAAACAGACAGGGATGGAAAGAGGGAGGGAGGGAAAGCAATATGTGTGCTCCGTCACAGGTCACTGCGTCACTCAAGGTATTGTCAGGAAAAGTGTTTATTCTCCATACTTCATAAATGTTGTCATTTAAAAACAACCATCCATGCTTTATTGTTTCCCATTATACTGTATGTTTCACATTTAGAACATTTCCTCCTCTTACTTCTTCATTTGTCCAATGCCTTGCTATTGTAGAACTGTGTAGGCACATTTCCCACTTATTAACAGACAAATGAAAGTGACAAGTGCCGCTATTGTTCACAATGGCCAGCCTGCCAAGACAGGCTTCACATTTTTTCAACACTAAGCCCATCAGGGGTTCTTCTCAAGTTACTGCAAACACTGAGTAAGGAACATTGGACCTTAGAAACTAAAACAAACATTTTTATTCATCAGAGGCTGTTTGGCCCAGACTTTTACTATTTTACCAGTCTATTCTTTTATTTCCTTCTGAAAAAGAACTACAGTACACTTTAGCACAATTTTATAAAAGAGTACTTATTAGGGAAATAATATACCTTATATTATATATATTATATACCTTAAAAATATACTTAAGTGTAAACTAAATGTAATGTGTTCGGCCACACAATAGCATGTTATTTACAATTAAATTTATTTTTTATTATTATTGTTTAAATGTATATTAAATGCAATTAGTTGATTTTAGAAGAGCTTTTTGACACTTAAATGGGGCTTAAGTAGATTACTTGTATTGTATTGTACTTGTACTTGTAATTACTTGTATTAAATCGAATTACTTGTATTGTCTTTTGCATTTTAGTACATTTTAAATATATTAAATGAAAATTTAATATAAAAACACTACAGTTGAAATTATAATCAGATACTTGACATGTGCTTTAGTATGTTGCTCAACACATCAAAATAAGTAGTTTTTTAGGGATGACAAAAGAATATTAAAACACAATGATTTAAAATGTACTTAAAAGTGGAACTTTTCATTTGACAGGGTTTTAAAAGTGTACTTCAGTGTGTTGAGAAATATAAGGTACACTTAAGTGGCCTTTTATTTAATTATTATTATATTATCTGCAAGTACAGCTTTTAAAACAAATATTTTATGATTTGTAGTTCGCTACATTTACATTCAAAACAATTAAGCTCACTTTTTTTCACAAGGGTCTGTATCTTCACAAAAACACACACAATGACATAAACCTTTAAATCAGATAACTGGAGATGAATATAACCCTAAATATGACTGTATTGTGCTGCTAGCTTTGGTTATTTACAGTGCTATAACAGCAGTGTGTTTTGCACAAATGATGGTGGGGGTTATAATTATAACAGTATACTCAATGAATTCTAGCAGGTCTCACATGACATACATTCCTGCTTCATTCAAGCTTATAATTTGCTTATTGAGGGTGACAGTGTGAAAATCAGCAACATTATAAGTTACTGGGCCAGTGACTCTTAGCCCACAACTGAGCTGTTGAATCAAGTTATTCGCGGGCAAAGGACAGAAGCAGTAAGCATATTTTGATTTCATTGTAAAATCAGTGGATTGTTGCCCTGATTGACCCATTTACAGATCTGTATAATTGACCTTTCAACCGAATAATGAGGTGATCTAGAGAGCCGAGTCAGCAAAAACTCTGTTTGCTCTGAGCATGTGAAGAAGGAAAGGTCTTCAGTTCCTCAGGGACTTTTTTCAAGGCCATTCACGCAAGACCATTTATAAGACGACAATCAAGGGTTAATTAGATTAGACAAATGAAGGTTTACTTTAATGATCTGTAGAAAACAGTACAGGCAAGTTTTATATATTACACACACATATTAGGCTTATATAATATAAAATACACATAATATAGTTTACATACATTTTGTTATATACATATTAAGAACTCCACCCAGTTTCTCTTTTCAGTGTGAAAGTTAAGAGCACAATGCATAGCCTATATCAATACATTTCACTCAAAATAGACATGATGGAGGAATGCCTGCAAAAAAATAAAAAATAAAAAAAAAATTATTAAATATAGAGTGTCATTTTTATTTTATGTATTTATTTATTTTCCCTCGGTCAGATGATACATTTTTTTCGGGAGGTGTGTGATCTTAACGCACAGCTACAGTTCAGTTCATCTGAGAGAGTATAAGCATCTCTCCGTCTACGTACACTAGCCAGTCACTGACGTACTCAATCCTCAGCAGACCTGCATCGCAGCTTCATCACTGATACCCAGCAAAAACTAGAGCAGAACTGATGCTCTGCTGCTTCATGTTCCACGTGAACATACTGACACAGTTTCGCTGGCACTCTTCTATGCTGGCTTTAAATGCTTCATTTATGTTATATAAATACACCATGGGATGAGACACTCCGGTACCCTCCAACTAGTGAGCGACGCCGCCGACGCGTCAAACTACAACGCTCGCACTATAGTCTAACTTTGTCTTGCGCACGAAGTGTTTGCAGTTCATTCATTATATCGGGAGGGTCTTGTTTTGTCGCGTCGCTCGCTTGCAGTGCAGGTGGGTGTTGTTCATACTTTGTGAAGGAGGAGTATGAGGAAAAGGCATTGACCGGAAAAAATCTTCTAGTGGAAGGCACACACACACACACACACACACACGCACACGCACACGAACACACACACACACACACACACACACACACACACACACACACACACACACACACACACACACACACACACACACACAAAA